GGAGAGGGGACGCGACGAGGTGGGGGCGGGGTAGCTAGGGTTCTTCCTCCTCCTGATTTGGACTCGACGATGACTGTCACCTCATCTGGTTGCGGGATGGGCCTAATTCGCATTCCTATTGGGCTGGGCTCGTTCCGGTTTTTCTCTGTTGGGCTGCAGAAGGCTCGCGTTAGATGAGAGCTAACATTGCGGGGTTCTGTTTTGAAAAACAAAATGCGAGCTAATTCCCTTAAAAAAATGCGAGGAATGAATTCCCTATTTTTCTGGGAAAAACAATAATGCGGAATTCATTCCCTATTCTACACTCGTAGAGTGAAATGTCGAGCCATATTTGACGCACTTTGTGAGTGAATCTGCTGGGGTGACCCAACAGTGTCGGCCCAGTAACGCATGGGACTGTACCGACTCCGGCAAAGCTACTGTAGTGAGCGACGGTCTCGTCTGCCGGAGACTTTGCTGGTTCACCTTGCCTCTAGACTCCGTGCGTTGCGAGGTGAAGATGAACCTGGGATCTTCTTATGACTATTGTTATGGTTTTCAGCAGCAACATCTTGGCGGAGAATGTGATTCCGCGGGAATAAACGTACTCTGGTTTTTCTCTTGTCGTTGAGGTGTCTCATCAGATGGTGTCGCGAAGCCAGAGAGTTTGGGTGTCTGCAGGTTTGGTGTGTCCAGCCTTATACATTTTCGAGTTATGTCTTTGCAGATTTGTTCCTATAAATCTGGTGAGTTTGTGTTAGTCCTTCCTTGGCCTTTCTGAAACCTATGAAGTTAATCAAGTTTGTGCAGGTTTACGAGCGGTGATATTGCTGCTCCGATCTAATTGCGCTCTCTTCGCTGAAGTCTTGGCAATACTTTTTGTTGCAAAGAGTAATACCATGAGAAGATGTGCCAAGAAATTTATTTATAGTTCTAAGTGATGAGAATTACCCCATCGGTTCCATAATTACTGTCGTGGTTTTAGTTCAAAGCATAGTACATGTAATGTTTGTCAAGTTTGAATAAAAGTACATGTCCTTCTAAAAAAACTACTGCAGCGGCCCATTTTCCCCTATTTTAGTTTCTAGCATTTTTGGTTTCCATTTGATTTTTGAAAATAATTTAAACTTTTATTTATTTCAAAAATTAAACCTTTTTTTTACAATATGAACATTTTCTTAAAATCAAGAACATGTTTCTTTGGATGCGAAAATATTGCAAAACTTTTTCGATCATTTTTGAAAATTTAGAATATTTTCTATAATTGTGAATAAAATTTTAAAACTTTAATTATAAAAAAGCGTGTAGATTTTTGAAATTTTGTGAACAATTTTTGAATTTCAGGAACATTTTTAAAATTATGCAAACATGTTTTAAAAGAGGTGGTCATTTTTCAAAATAAATAGGAAAAAGAGAAAATAATAAAGAAACCAGAATAATATAAAAAAGGAAATTAAAACCCAAAAGAAAACCATCAGAGAAATTAACTGGAAAAAAGAGAAAACCGAGCGAGAACCTTCTAGAACATATATCATAAATGAGATACACATAAATTTATCCTCAACATTTCAAACCCACAAAGGATAATTAACCACCGTGTTATTTACTACAAATTACACAAGATAGGCGAGTTCTTTTTTCTACATGTTACTTAATAAAAACCCTAGCATTGGTAGAGAACCATAGGGGTTGTTTGGATACAAACCATTGAAGCAATTTAGATCATTTAATTGACATGGTTCAATGGCAGAGATTAGTTGAATCTGCCCTTTGTGTCTTTTTATATTGGTATATAGATAAGTAGTGAGCATGTTCAAATACTTGACATGTTTTGTTTTGATAGCACAATGAAATTTTGTTTTTAGAAACACGGTGACATTTTTAATAAACAATGATTATGTTTTTAATACATGGTGAATATTGTCCAAATACGCGACGAGCAACAGTGAAGATTTCAAAAAAAAATGTTTTTTTCATAGAAACATTTTTTAATTCTTAAACTTGTTTAACAATATTAAAAAATGATTTTCAAACTTACCTTTTGTTTTTACAAAATTTCTGAAGAAAAGCTCATGCGTGGGAGTTTGTCCACCTCTTCAACCCCTGGGCACTCACGAGGATCAAAGGTGTGAGATCGAATTGCCTCAGCGTTGTTCACAATATCGGGTATGGCTGAACAGGCCCATATGCGGATGTGGTGTTTCAGAGCTCAAGCTCAAATGAGCTCGGGTGAACAGTAAAATCCAAAATTTGATTTTTTTTTTGAAAAAAATAAATATGAATTTTGTTTGGTGCAAACATTGACAAATGTTTAGAACGCAAAATTTATATTGAAATGACATTCGTGGAAGTCATGACAAAAAAATACAAAATCAATGCTCTAAAAAAGTTATTTTCGAAAGCATTTTGGAGTGCTAATTTTTCTTATTTGCCACGACTTCCACGAATGTTATTTCATCATGAAAAAATGTAAGAACTGAATCATTTGTCAAAGGTCGCCACAAAAAAGATTTAGAATTTTTTGAATGTTATTTCATATGTTTTGGATTTTACTTATCACGAGCTCAAATGAGCTCGCGAAGAAGATGGCTTTCGCCCATATATGCCACCATTATGAAAGAGACAGCTAAGAGCTACGTTGGAATTTCCCCGAAAAGGAGAGGATGATGCAGTACAGTAGAGATAAGTATTTCACTCAGCTAAGAACCAAGGTTATCAATCCAGTAGAAAAACCACACAAGACATCATGAACATCACCAACACACAAAAGAACTAATACTTGCACCCAACACAAACAAGGGGTTGTGGCGGTTAATTGCAAGGATCAAGTCTAATAATGGTAGATAGATAAACAAAAACACAAAATAAAAATAATGGTAAATAAAAATAATGATAAAGATAGACCCCGGGGGCCATAGTTCTCACTAGAGCCTTCTCTCTTGAACATAACATATGGTGGGTAAACAAATTATTGTTGGGCAATTGATAAAAAAAACGCATAGTTATGACGATATTCAAGGCAATGATCATGTATAAGGCATCATGTCCGAGCAAGTAGACCGACTCCTGCCTGCATCTACTACTATTACTCCACACATCGACCGCTATACAACATACATCTAGAGTATTAAGTTCGTAAAGAACAGAGTAATGCCTTAAGCAAGATGACATGATATAGACAAAATAAACTCAATCAATATGAATAAACCCTTTTGTTTTATCCTCGATGGCAACGATATAAATATGTGTCATGTCCTTTTGTGTCACTGGGATTGAACACCGCAAGATTAAACCCATCCAAAGCACCTCTCCTATTGCAAGATAAATCAATCTATTTGGCCAAACCAAATCAATAGAACGGAGAGAAATACAAAGCTATAACAATCATGCATATAAGAATTCAGAAAAGACTCAAATAATATTCATGAATTATCTGATAATAAACCCACAATTCATTGGATCACAACAAACATACTGCAAAAGAAGATTACATTGAATAGAACTCCAAGAACATCGAGAAGAAAATTGTATTGAAGATCAAAGAGATAAAAGAAGCCATTTAGCTACTACCTACGGACCCGTAGGGTCTGTTGAAAACTACTCACGCATCATCAGAAGGGCAGCAAAGATGATCTAGAAGCCATCTGTGGTCAATTGCCCCTTCGGCGGAGTACTGGAGAAGGCCTCCAGATGGAATCTCGAAGGACAAAAACTTGCGGCGGTGGAATGATACGTCTCAGTCGTATCTATAATTTTTGATTGTTCCATGTCAATATTCTACAACTTTCATATACTTTTGGCAACTTTTTTATACTATTTTGGGACTAACATATTGATCCAGTGTCCAGTGCCAATTCCTGTCTGTTGCATGTTTTTTGTTTCGCAGTAAACCCATATCAAACGGAATTCAAAAGGGATAAAAACGGACGGAGAATATTTTTGAAATATTTGGAGAATATGGGAAGAAAATCCATGCGAGACGGTTCCCGAGGGGGGCATGAGGCAGGGGGGCGCACCCCACCCCCTGGGCGTGCCCCTGACTCTCATGGGCCCCTCGTAAGGCGGTTGCTGCTATTCTTTTGCCGCAAGAAAGCTAATTTTCAGGGAAAAAATCTTGGCGAAGGTTTCAGTCCAATCGAAGTTACGGATCTCCATATATATATATATATATATATATATATATATATATATATATATATATATATATATATGAAACGGTGAAAGGGCAGTCAGGGAGAGGCATAAACAGAGAGAGACAGAGAGACAGATCCAATCTCGGAGGGGCTCTCGCCCCTCCCATGCCATGGAGGCCAAGAACTAGAGGGGAAACCCTTCTCCCATCT